AGTAAAAAACAAGAAACAATGCTTAATTTATTTACTTTCCTAAAAAGAAAAACTTACGGAGAAGAAGTCGGTATCGGCTGCAAGGTAGAAGAAAATGACGGTCATGAGTGCCATGTAAGTTCCGAGTACAACCCCTGTGGCGAAAATCTCCTTGAGCTTCCACGAGTCCGGCACTGGCGAAGGCTTCACTCTATCCTTTGAAATGGTCATGATGGTACCGTCGTTGAGGATGGCAATAATGAGGACCATGAAAGGCGAAAAGTCGAACTTCCAGATAAGTGCAATGAGCAAGAATCCCATCACTATACGGATCGTGATCGAGACAGCATAGATCGTGTAGTTCTTCATCCTTTGAAAAATGGCTCGACTAGTCAGGACAGCACTCACGATCACGCTCAATCCTGGCTCGGTTAGAACAATGTCTGAAGCACTCCTCGCGGCATCTGTAGCGTCGGCCACCGCAATTCCGATGTCAGCCTTTTTCAATGCCGGAGCATCGTTCACACCGTCACCAGTCATCCCACAAATGTGCTTCCTCTCTTGGAGTTTCTTCACGATCTCGTATTTGTGCTCTGCAGACCGATGAATGAATAAAAATAAAATAAAATGCGTATTTGTTATTTGGCAAAATTGCATATTAATGCATCACCTTTCATGTTTTTGCAATTTAATCACAACATTTACAATTTTGCAAAAAAATACACCACCTTTACCATTTTTGCAAATTGATACATAAATGAGGTTCCGTTAAAAAAATCTAACGAAAATCTGCCATGTCAGATTTTCGTTAACGGAATCGTCAGTCATGTATCGATTTGCAAAAATTGAAAAAGTAGTGTATTAATTTGCAAAATTGTAAATGTGGTGATTAAATTGGAAAAACATGAAAGGTGATGTATTAATATGCAATTTTACCTTGTTATTTTGATTTTTTTATTAATTTTTGAATTTTTTTTTACCAGGGAAGACTCCAGCGAAGCCATCGGCTTTCTCGATGAGTTCGTCGATGGGAATGGAGGCAATAGACTCGTCTTTGTTCTGGCCGAGAAGGGCGGATGAAGGGTACATGTTGGTGCCCATTCCGAGTCGTCGGCCAGTCTCGATTCCGATCGCCAGCTGGTCGCCGGTGATCATCTTCACGTTGACGCCAAGATCGAGGGCCTTGCTAATGGTCTCGGCACTGTCATGTCTTGGCGGGTCGAAGAGTGGCAGAAGGCCAACGAACTCCCATGGCTCGCCTGCGCTTTCCTTCGTCTTCTCATTCACGGTCTGCGGAGGGGAAAAATAAAAAAAGTTAGTCACAAGATAATTTGAACAGTTAAATTAGTTGTTGTTATATTATATTTTTATTTATGACCTGTCTGGCAATGCCGAGGGATCGGAGGCCGCGGTTGGCGAAGTTGTCGATGACGGCGTGGGCCTTCTTCAGGTCTTCACCTTTGAGGAGACAGAGTTCGATGATCTGTCGAAAAATATTTGACGAAATGGTTAAAGTTTAAGCTTATTGACAAAAGGGGAAGCAAAATCTTTTAAGTAAATAAAAATCGTGTTTCGTGTTTACTTGCTCGGGAGCACCCTTGCTGCACCTATGCCAGTCCCCGTCATTGTCGATGTATGTGATAGCCGTGCGCTTGTCCACCGGATTGAATGGCAGGAAATGCACCTCTTTAATTCCGGCTCTTGCCTAAAATCACACAAAAACACAAAAAATCAATGAATGTGCACCAAAAAATTTCATATTCCTTTCTTTTTTTTTTGTTTTGTCTTATCTTACCTCCTTGGGATCACCAAGCATGTTGACAATGGAAGCATCAATCGCGTCCTGATTTTCAATTCTCGAAGCTCTGGCTGCGAACAAAACCACAGCATCCTTATCAATGTTCTTTGGGAAAACCTCGATCAATGTCTTATCGACCGTCAACTTGTTGAGCGTAAGTGTTCCGGTTTTGTCGCTGCAGAGCACATCCATGCCAGCCATCTCCTCAATGGCCGTCATCCTCTTCGTGATGGCACCTTGCTGAGACAGCCTGTGGGACCCGATTGCCATTGTGACCGAAAGAACCGTGGGCATGGCAATCGGGATTCCACCAATAAGCAACACGAGCAAGTTATCAATCCCTTGCCTGTAGTTCCTCTTCTGAATCGGGTACATTACAAGTATCTCGATCACCATACCAACCGCAATCGAGCATATGCAGAAGTTACCGATTGCAGTCAAAACCTTTCCCAGAAAAAAAAAAGAACGATTTTTGAATCAATTTACCAATCAAGAAAACATTACGTGTATGCCTTGTAAGAATTTTATTTTTAGTTTTGACCTGTTGGAAGTGGCCGACGTTATTGGTGCTATCGACAAGATGAGCGGCCTTGCCGAAGAACGTGTGAACACCAGTTGCAATAACAACAGCCTCGATTTCGCCCTGCTTGCAAGTCGAGCCCGAGTAGACTCCTTGGCCCGGATGCTTAGTGACGGGAAGAGACTCGCCTGTGAGAGCCGATTGGTCGATCTTCAGAGGATCGCCTTCGAGTAGACGAGCATCGGCCGGGATGATGTCACCGAGCTTCACGCTGATCAAGTCACCCGGGACAAGGATCGAAGCCTCTTGCTCGGACCACTTGCCGTCCCTCAGAACCTACGATGTTATTTTATTTTTTTAATTTATTTTCGCCAGCATGTTATGAGAAAACCGAAAAAAAAAAAAATAATAATAAAATGCTCGAAAATTACGAAACCTTGGTCTTGGGGGCAAGGCCGGCCATGAGAGCGGCCGCGGCATTTCCGGCGTTGTTTTCCTCGATGAAGCTTATAGTCGAGTTGATGATGAGCAACACGACTATGCCGACAAAGTCCTGCCAGTCCGGAGGCTTTCCCTGTTTTTTTGTTTTTTAATTTAGATTGATTAATAATATGCTTCTAGAGTAAATTATTGGAAGAAATGATTATGTTTCTACGTACCCCGCCATTAGCCAAGACGATGGCCATGATAGCGGCGGACTCCATGACCCACGAGAGAGGGTTCCACATGAAGCCGAGGAACTTGAGGAATTTGCTCTCCTTTTTCTCCTCGAGCTTGTTGGGCCCGAAGATCTCGAGCCTTTTGTTACCTTCATCGCTCGTCAGCCCTTCTCTCGAACATTTCAAAGCCGTGAAAACTTCCTCGATTGGAATGTTCTCCTGCAAAACAACACCACATGAATTTTTTCACGTACGATAAGGGGAAAAAAATGGTGGGGGGAGATTACTTACGAGATCGACTGTCTCATTCTTGATCTCTTCAAGATCTGAAGCCATATTATCTGTTTTAACTTTTTTTTTTTTTGTTTCTATTCTGATCAAGACTTATTCAAAAGGAAAAGAGATGGAGAGTGCTGAATGTCTCTCTATCTCCTTCCCCTGTTTGCTTGAAACCTCTGTCTTTGTTTTTTTCACACCNTTTTTATTTTAGTAATGGTGATTTCTTATTTTGTGTTGAGTTTTTTCTTTTTTCGTCAAGTACGGGAAATTGTACGGGTCTATGTCGATTTGTTCTCCTTAAAAGATGGACAGCCAAATGGTGATCCTAGGACGGGATTATAATGAGATGAATGTTACCTTTAGTATTTTTAGTTGCAAGTTAGTTGTGTTAGAAAATCGGTTAAATAAAATTGGGTTGACCTGATTTTGACTGATTTTTTATTGAGTTATATAATGTTGAAAAATTCTACATTACGAGTATATGCTTTTATTATATTTTCTCAAAATTAATTTTCGGTGAGTGAGAAATAAATAAATAAAATTTGCCACTAATGAACACGTAAAACGTTGGTTGTGATGCACACTTCCAAAAGTTCTATCACACATTGGACTCTTAAGTGAGAATAACTATTTTTCTTACAATAAAAATAGTTGCACAGGTCATAGCAACAAGAAAACTATGTACTAAGTGTAGGCGTTGACTTCGGCCACACGCGAGCGCTCTAGCCGGCTTGGCTCGAGCATGGGCGTGGTCCTGGGTCTGGACCTTGGATCTTTGACCGTAAGCTGGACTTGGGCGGCCTTGGACGGTCTAGGTCGGTGTTGGGCCCCTATAATCTTTTGCTGCAAATTTATTTGCGAAATTATGGCCCAAACTAAAATTTAAATTGAGTTAGATTTGAACTCGGGTTTTTTACCCAACCCTTGTGGACCTCTATAGATACAATGTATTTGAACATGTGGACTCCACTTGACTGTTTCGAAATGTTATCAGGTGGAGTAGTAGTGTGTTAACACCAAAAAACAACATGCTTAACAAATAACCATTTTCTGCCTATTTACAATAACCATCAGTGGGTTGTTATCTGCCTTAATTGCTTGATGACCAGAGGTCATCCCCTTTCTGGTTGGAAGTCTTATGAATAGAATATGGTAGAGCTGCAGAAGCGAACACATAACATCATCTGCATACGTGCTATTATGAAAAGCCTCATGCATCATATATATAATGTTAATATTTCGACTTCGTTCAAGTTCGCCGGAGCTCAAAAGTGAAGCGCTACAACTTTTGAGACTCGGGTTTTTATTTGCGAAATTGTGGCCGAAACTAAAATTCAAATCAAGTTGGATTTGGACTCGGGTTTTTTACCCAACCACTGTGGACCTCTACGGATACAATGTATATGAACATGTGGATTCCACCTGACTGTTTTGAAAGGTTATCAGGTGGAGTAATGGTGAGTTAACACCAAAAAAGGACATCCTTAACACCTAACCATTTTTTGCCCATTTACAACAACCATCAGTGGGTTGATATCTGCCTTAATTGGTTGGTCATCTAATTGGTTGATGACCAGAGGTCTTTCCCTATCTGGTTGGATGTCATATGTAGGACATGGTAGAGCTGCAGAAGCAGACACATAACATCATCTGCATACGTACTATTATGAAAAGCCTCATGCATCATACATACAATGCTAATTTCCCGACATCATTCAAGTATGCCGGAGCTCGGAAGTTTGAAACACTACAGCTTTTGAGACTCGAGTTTTTATTTGCGAAATTGTGGCCCAAACTAAATTTCAAATCGAGTTGGATTTAGACTCGGGTTTTTTACCCAACCCTGTGGACCTCTACAGATACAATGTATCTGAACATGTGGACTCCACCAGACTGTTTCGAATGGTTATCAAGTGGAGTAGTGGTGTGTTAACACCAAAAAATGACATGCTTAACACCTAACCATTTTATGCTCATTTACAATAACCATCAGTGGGTTGTTATCTGCCTTAATTGGTTGATGACCAGAGGTCATCCCCTACATGGTTGGATGCCATATGAAAGGGACATGGTAGAGCTATAGAAGCACGCACATAACATCATATGCATACGTGCTATTATGAAAAGCCTCATGCATCATACATACAATGCTAATTTTTCGACTTCGTTCAAGTTCGTCGGAGCTCGGAAGTCTGAAGTACTACAACTTCTGAGGCTAGTCATTCTATATTTGGGGACAAGACACCTGAACCCGTTAACACGTTACGGGACATATTCTTTTAGTGATGATACATGATCGATTCACTCAATAAAAACGCCAGTGATGAAAATCGTGTATCAGTCAATATGAAATGTGATAACCCGCGCTGACGATAGATGATTAAACATGAGATCTGCTAGAAACGTACCGAAATGATTTTTCTTATTGCTTAAGTTATGTTAATCGGCCACTTACATCTTATAAAGAAAAAAAATTCCGACAATTACAAATAGGTCATAACGAATAATAAACTAACAGAATCACTCTCTTAAATAAATAAAATACTATCAGCTCCTCGGCCGAACTCAATCGCTTGAGCCCATCACTATTGTGGCCTGTTCCCCCTAGCCGTTGTGCCGTGTGCGCCCGTGCTTGTTGATGCACTTGTGCCTTGATACGAGCTCGTCGTTGTCGGTTTTATGCGTTTTCAAGATGTCGATCCTCGTTCGCATCACACGTCATTTTACGCTGCCATTTAATACGTAACCATTGTCGACATGTTTTTATATTTATCGTATCTTTTTCCAAATAAATATATGACATTGATATATAGAGAAAAAAAATTGTGATGAAATTACAAATTCAAAAAAGATCAGGACTTATGAACTATTTTGCAAGTTTCGAATAGTATCTTTGGATATAGATCAGTGGAATATGACGTTAAAGTTCCAGCTTACTAATGAAGATCGTGTATCGAGACTCGATTTTGTGTAAGAGCCCGCACTGGTAGAGGTTCGACAACCTTTTGAACATGAAGAAAATGAAATACGAATACTTACTCTTCTCAATTTCAAAAGTGTCAGTTTCCGAATTTATATGACTTCACTTCGCTTTGCTTCGTTCTATCCAAGAGACTCTTTGCTAAAGCTCTTCGGCCGTTTTAAAGAATGGTCAATGTCCAGGCGAAGTAGAGCCACATCCGCCCCTGCTGATCTGCTCCTCTTCTTTCAGTCGCAACTGGACTCTCTTTGATGCCTTGAAGTTTAATAAAGAGAAAACCTCCTTCCTTTCGATCAAAGCCTGAGGATGTAAGGAGAAAGAAAAGACAGGTTTGCGGAGTAACTCGAACCTACTCTTAGTAATGACACTACACACTTTCCCAATCTCGGAAATAAAATCGGACTTGCCGACGAATCCATTGATCAAATTGGGGCAAATTTCTTAGTCAGCTCAGAAAGAAAACTGTCATTAACGGTTTTGGTTCGAACACGATAAAATGTGTAAACCCGCACTAACGGCCTTGGTCGACACATTAATAAGTGAAAACCCGCACTATCAGCCTTGTTTTTTCACAAATTGTTTTTTCACGAAGAAATGACTCGAAGAGAGCTTCTTTCTTAACTTTTATTACTTAAAACTTCTTATCAAACATACATACAAATGTCCTATTTATAAAACTACAAACATCATTCAAATTTAAATACTTAAACCTATAACTAATCCTAACCAACACATTTAAAATTTAAAATATAACTAACCTAATTTATCCTATCTAATTTGCATGAAAAACCAACTTCTCCCACCATCATCCACGCAATTCGATTATACTCAGAAGTCCGGTTGGCATCATTTTTCCCCCTTCGAGTTTGTCCTTGTCCTAAAGCACTCGTCACCGGGCATCAACCGAGAGGCATCTCCTTCTCATGATCCGCATCGTACCCCTCCTAAAACTCCTTCAAGTACCTCCACTCGGATCGAGTTAACCTTCTTTCCAACCTTTCCAAAATAGGATCCTTTCACTCTATCTCGTCCAATTTTTCAAACGACATAATTTTTTTTTCCAACGCAGCAGCCCCTAAACAAATATATATAACAGCTTTGTTTTTTCTCCCTCCAACTCCAAGCACTCACGGCAATTCCCAGCAACTCACACACTTTTTTTCACTCACTCTCAACTCACAAATCAAGACAAATACTATTATTTTTTTTTTCCAAGCAAACTCATGCCCCTCACAATAAATCAATTTTTTTTTTTCTTTTTTTTTTTANCTGCCAGATAAACAAGATTTTTTTTAAATGCTGGCTCTAATCAAGGAAGAAAGAAGATACTTTTTTTAGCCTCGACTAAACCTCACGAAAAAAAAATTCAAAAGAAAAGAAAAACGAAAAGATAAATAAGATACACGATCAATCACTCTCAACGAGAGCGCACCAATAATGAAGATCGTGTATCGGGACTCGATTTTGTGTAAGAACCTGCATTAACGGCTTTGGTTCAAACACGATAAAATGTGTAAACCCGCACTGACGACCTTGGTCAACACATTAATAAGTGAAAAACCCGAACTATTGGCCTTGGTTTTTCACGAATAAATTACTCGAACACGAGCTTCTTTCTTAATTTTTATTACTTAAAACTTCGTATCAGACATACATACAAATGTCTTATCTATAGTAATATAAAGAAGTTGTTGGAAAAATACAAAAATAGTAACTTTGACTTAAAAAATAATTGTTGACTTACTAATATAAGCAATATCAATGGGCCCCACATGTCAACCAATTTAATCAGATTTTGGTAACTAATTTGATCCGATTTTGATAACAAATCTCGGATTTTGATAACAAATTTCATCTTATTTTGATGACAAATCTAGGATTTTGTTAACAAATCTCAGATTTTGGTAACAAATTTGATCTTATTTTGATGACAAATCTCGGATTTTGATAACAATTCTTTTAAGATATCGTTTTTTTTGTAACACACTTCATAGTTATTTACACACAATATATTGCCGATAATCTTTGGGATTTCTTTTGGTAACAAATTTCACAATTTTTTAGATTGTTTGGAGTTAAATACTACAGAAAAAATTTCGAGATTTGATAAATGATACATATCAAAATAAAATTATTATTTTTCTATCAATCCAAAAAGCCTTACCAAATTAAATTGTAACAAACTATATTAATTTTGGTAAACATTATGTCACATTGATAAGACACATAATCTTCAAAATAAAAACTTAATTGTTGACTTACTAATATAAGCAATATCAATGGGTCCCACATGTCAACAAATTTAATCGAATTTTGGTAACAAATTTGATCAGATTTTGATAACAAAATCTTAAATTTTGGTAACAAACTTGATCTTAATTTGATAATAAATCTTGAATTTTGTTAACAAATCTGATCTGATTGTGATAACAAATCTCGAATTTTGATAACAAATCTTTTAAAATATCAGTTTTTGTTTACACAATATATTGCCGATAATCTTAGGGATTTCTTTTGGTAACAAATTTCACAATTTTTTTGGATTGTTTGGAGTTAAATATTGCTGAAAAAATCTCGAGATTTGATAAATGACACATATTAAAATAAATATAATATTTTTCAATCATTCCAAAAAGCCTTACCAAATTAAATTGTAACAAACTCCATTAATTTTGGTAAACATTATATAACATTGATATGACAGATAATCCTCAAAATAGAAATTTAATTGTTGACTTACTATTATAAGCAATATCAATGGGCCCCACATGTCAACCAATTTAATCGGATTTTGGTAACAAATTTGATCTTATTTGATAACAAATCTCGGATTTGTTATCAAATTTGATCTGATTGTGATAACAAATCTCGGATTTTGATAACAAATTATTTAAAATATCGGTTTTTTTGGTAACACACTTCATAGTTATTTACACACAATATATTGTCGATAATCTTTGGGAATTCTTTTGGTAACAAATTTCACAATTTTTTCGGATTGTTTGGAGTTAAATATTGCAGAAAAAATCTCGAGATTTGATAAATGATACATATCAAAATAAAAATATTATTTTTCAATCAATCCAAAAAGCCTTACCAAATTAAATTGTGACAAATTCCATTAATTTTGGTAAACATTATGTCACATTGATATGACACATAATCTTCAAAATAAAAAATTAATTGTTAACTTAGTAATATAAGCAATATCAATAGGCCCCACATGTCAACCAATTTAATTGGATTTTGGTAACAAATTTGATCGGATTTTTGATAACAAATCTCGAATTTTGGTAACAAATTTGATCTTATTTTGATAACAAATCTCAGTTTTTGTTAACAAATTTGATCTGATTGTGATAACAAATCCTTTAAAATATTGGTTTTTTTGGTAACACACTTCATAGTTATTTACACACAATATATTACCGATATTCTTTGGGATTTCTTTTTGTAACAAATTTCACAATTTTTTCGGATTGTTTGGAGTTAAAAAATGCAGAAAAAATCTCGAGATTTGATAAATGATACATATCAAAGCAATAATATTATTTTCCAGTCAATTCAAAAAGCCTTATCAAATTAAATTGTAACAAACTCTATTAATTTTGGTAAATATTATGTCACATTGATATGACATATAATTTTCAATAATCGACAAAATTCGAGACACATGTAACACGTTGCACATTTTTTGTTTTTGTTTTTGTTTTAACTAAAACGGATAAACATATTTTTTGAAGTCAATCGTAATCACATTATTTAGGAAAATAAATCCTACTCAACTTAAAAATCTGACGTAAATCAATTTTGAATTTATATTTTATACCAGTATTTTATTGATTTATATAATCTACACTATCCAAACTACTAATGGTTGTTACAAGTATATATCTAGAAAACAAGTAACTACTTGGATAAGGGTTTGAATAATAGGATTGATAAGCATGATCTTATTTCTTAAGCTTATCCGATCTTTTTTAACTTGATATTTTGTAACTATATCTCCTTTATGGGTTTGTGTAATGGGACACGATTGGTTGTGGCAAGGCTCTCCACTCATGTTCTCGAGTGTATGATACTCACTGGCGATCACGCAGGTGATAAAGTGTTGGTTCCAAGAATGACTATATTTCCTTCTGATGTTAGAATTTCTTTCAAGTTCCACCGTCGGCAGTTTCCCATTATGGTTTCTTACGCCATGCCTATAAATAAGAGTCATGGACAATTATTTGCATGTGGGCTTATTTCTTAAGAAATCAGTATTTTGTGATTGCCAGTTGTATGTTGTTGTCTCCCGTGTCACAAACATAAATGGTTTGAAAATCCTAATTTGTAGCGACGATGACGTGTCAAAGAATCAAACCATGAATGTTGTATATAAAGCAATGTTCAATAATATATAGATTTTATTTCATTATATTTATTAATTTATTAATTATTAATGACATGATCTTTCCTTTCATAAGTACTTTGAATTTTAACTGAAAATTACTTTTTAAAAGGGACGGGGATAATAAACCTCCGTGCACCGCACGGATACTGTACTAGTTTATAATACTACAAACATCATTCAAATTTAAATATTTAAATTTATAACTAATCCTAACCAACACATTTAAAATTTAAAATATAACTAACATAATTTATCCTATCTAATTTGCATGAAAATCCAACTTCTCCCGTCTATCATCCATGCAATTCCATTATACTCAAAAGTCCGGTTCGCATCACTTACCGATGACACGTTTGTAGTTTTCTTTTCGTTTCAAATTCCTCCACATATTTTTGGTTATACAGTGATAATCAATACTATTTTCTATACTTTATTATAAAATTAAAAGTTATTTCATCAAATTAAAAGTACAAAAAATTATTAAACGAAATCAACTTATTAGTGAACAAAGTCTCAACTGTTTGCCTAAGGCCAAGAGGTTTACCGTGTTGGTAGATTAAGGGTTGTTATCAGTTGATGAACAATTGTATATTTTGAGTTTTTCTTTTAATGAATTTGTTCGTTTGGAAAAAAAATAAGAGGCCAAGACCCAAGAGGTTTGTGCCTGATCGAATTGTCTTTACAATTTTATTACATCCTACCCCTTGAAAACCCGCGCCTTCCAAATTCGACCCCTCCCCTCTTGGAAAAAGAAGTATAAAATCCCCACACCAAGGAAACCTCTTCAAAACCATGCCCTTGCCATGTTCTTCGTTGAACAAAAGCTGATTAATTAATTAGCAAGGCGAAAAAATGACTCGGGCTTCCAAAAGAAAATCCGATGTTCAAAATACTGCGTCTGCCAAAACCGCCCGCTCAGATTCTGTTCGTTCTGGTATATATCTGAGCTGCTCACTTTGTCTTTTTTATTTTTATTATTTTTGGCTTTTATGTACTCTGTAATGTCTTTCTTTTCCAAACTTCCATTGTTATTTGATAATTTTTTGGGCTTTCGATTATTCTTCTTTGGTTGTTATTTTGTGGGGTTTTTATGATCTTTACTGGGGTTCTTTCGTGCTTGGTGAAGGGGAAAATTGGAGTTTAATCAGAGTTCAATTTAATTTCTTTTGTTGAGTGTGGCAATATGCACCAGATTATTGGGAGTTAACCAATTTTGAATCTTGAGATCTTCAATGTTATTGCATTTAATTTTGTTTTGTAAGTGGGAACAGTGTAATGTTTCTTGATTTTTTTATAATGAGTGTGTGGATTGTTATGAATTGTAATGATCAGAAGTGCATATCTAGTATCCCCCATAAAAGAACAACTTGAGTTTTGTTGAGTTATTAAAAGGTTTGTCTATTTTCTTCACGATACATAGCATATTATGATGTGGGCTTTGATAGAAGGGGTCTTTTAGTTGGTGCTATTTAGTCATTGTTGTTCAAAATTTTGGAAGTGGGGAGTTGGGACAGATGTCAGATCCATCTCAATTGTAGTATCACATATTGGTCTGACTTCGTTAGGACCATGTTTTTACATGGTCAATGAGGTTATTCATATTGCTTATGTTTTCTACATAGTGATTTGGTTTATTTCAGTTGAGGCACAAATATCTGACGATGCAACATTGCATCTACCATCCATTATTGGTTTTTTATTTTTATTTTTATTCAGCGTCCAGTAAAGCTTCGGCGAAGGGGTATCAACGTATAGATGAAATTTTCAACAAATATGCTGATAAAACATCAGGACTGATTGAGTAAGTATTTATTGTTTAGTTTATTCTTATTTTATACTCACTACATTTTCATTGGATATGATCCTCTGAGTATCAATTCGTTTGGTTATGTTTTCCCAAGAGAACTTTTAGTTTGTCCATTGTATTGTGAGTATAGTTTTGTATTAATTTATTATTTGGAAAGTGATTATACCATTGTATACATCTGTGCAAGGAGATTTAAGTACATGGAGGATCATAAACAATGTTGTAATTGATTGGAAAGTGAATTATACCATAGTATACATCTGTGCTAGAAGATATAAGTACATGGAGGATCATAAACAATGTTGTAATTGATTAGATGTTTTTTCTTGAAACTGTTATATGATCAAATGAGAGGAATCTTGGTGAGAAAGGTCACGATTTCCCTAATAATGGGAGTTGCTAATTATTCTACTGAACCTATCTTGCTTAAATGATTAAAATGTTTAATGTTCTAATTTTTATTGCACAGACCAGAAGGAATTGAGGCACTATGTTCTGATCTAGAGGTGGATTACACAGATATTAGGATTTTGATGCTTGCTTGGTAAGTAATTTACAAAAATATCTCACAAGAAAAAGTATTATCTCAAGAATTTGTGGTGTGATTTTTATGAACTGGGCCTTCACATATTTCACCTGTTTTTATAGGAAAATGAATGCTGAAAAGCAGGGATATTTTACTCAGGTAACCTCTGTTTAATTTGATCCAATGAATTATTTTTTGAGTCAAAACTATTATGTGATGCATGCATGGTCTTCTATGTACGACTGCACACACACACTCAGTGTTCTTTCTCCATACCGTCTTTTCAAAATTTCTTAATGTCTTGATCATCAGGATGAATGGAGGAGAGGCTTGAAAGCTCTTAAAGTTGATAATATTAATAAACTGAAGAAATCACTACCAGCATTGAAGAAAGAGGTAGTTCCCCTTTTGCAAACTTTTCTCTCATTATTTTTCTATTTTATTATTTTTGAGAATGTGGATTCCACTGTTTTGCATTTGTTGATGGGAAGGCCTTGAAGTCAGTAAACTTTGAAGTTTTTTACACGTTTGCCTTCAGCTACTGTTTAACAGGTATGCCTTTTACATGTTGTAAACCTGCATTTCTTAATAAAATGTGTGTGCTTTGAATTTTTCTTTTGGTTCGAGTCTCTGCAATTAGTATGTTTCCCTTTCTGATTTCGGCTTGTTTATTCAATTCTTTCAGAGGAAAAGCAGAAGTGTTTAGACATTGAGAGTGCTTGCATGTTGATTGACCTGGTATTAGGGTTCCAATATCGGGCACAAGTTGATTCATTCATTAAATTTCTCAAGGTAAGCTAGCAAGAACTATATTAAATCGGTGTATTTCTAAGTTATAGAAAATGCGATGATTGTGAACGTCACACTAATATAATTAGATCCGATCTTCATAGACAAACTTGGGATTTCCGATCCAAGGTGACCTTACACAAAAATGTTCTTTCTTGACCATTTTTTTTTTTATTTTAACATTTGGGTCTCAGATTCAGAGTGACTACAAGGTGATGAATATGGATCAGTGGACGAATTTTCATCGGTTTTGTAAAGAGGTTCTTCTCCTTACACTTAGTCAATTTGGTCTCAATTTTGCAACTTGACAACTTAGGATGTGTTTGCAAAGGAAATAATTTGAGTGAATTAACTCAAAGTGAGTTTTTTTTAGTTAACTAGGGTTAATTTAAAAAAAAAAAGTATAGTTAGTTGTTAGTGGGATTTTGAGTTTATATTAAATTAATATTTAAAATAAAATAATTAAAATTGATTTGATGTAAAAGTAGTAGAGAGATGAAGTGAAGTGATGGTTAGTTAAAATTATGTGAGCAGATGAATAGTGAATTAAAGTTGATATGATGTGTAAAAATGATTGGGTGTTATTATTTAATGATTGGTTGTTATTATTTAATTATATTGATAATATTTAGGATAGTGGGGTTGAGTTAAAGTTGAGTTAGATTTTGAGTATGAATTAATTTAGATTGAGTAAATCCTTTTACAAACATAGCCTTAGTCAGCTAATATTGTGTGATTCAAAATCATGGTGCATTTACATGTGAAGAAGGCCAAATTTTTTTGACCCTACATGAATGCAGATTGTTAGTTTTTGTGCATCCAGCCGTTTAATAATTTTTGTATGTGGCATGTTACTATTTACAGATAAGCTTTCCGGATCTTCAAAATTATGATTCATGTGAAGCTTGGCCTTTACTTCTCGATAATTTTGTTGACTGGCTTAAAGAAGAGGCAGCATGAGTTTTTTTTTTTCTTTAGTTTGTTCCGAGTCTTGGACAAGGTAATTTTGGAAGCTCCATTTGTTTTAATTTTTTCCCCTTCTTCATGCTCCCAAAAGTTGTCGATTGAATTTCTTTTGGTTGTGTTGAAACTCCCATGTTCATTTACAGGTTTTTCGAGAATCATAAAAACGTGAAAGGGCATACTTCGAAGAGGAGTATGATCTTCACCAGACCTCTATCATACATCATTCTTTTGGAAATGTTCACATTTTGGTCTTTTACTTGGTAGCTTCCTAGTTTTGTGTTTTTCAGTGTCAAGACTGGCAATGGATTTTTTTTTTTTGAATGAATGAATAAACAAGTAATGGATTTATTTCATCTTTTATAATGCATATTCTTTTCTAGGGGTTGACACAGTTTGAGACTATCTGGGATAGTCCAATGATACTTTCTGAGATAGTCCAATGCTGATCTAAAATTAGTTCTTTTTATATTTTTAAATTTACATTTTCAGCAATAAATAAAATTTTGACATAGCATTAATTTTCAGCTAAAACTGGATAGAAACCAATGTCAGTACCATGTGTAATAAAAGCAAGGATTGGTTTATTGGGTATGAGGGTTTTTCAGCCTTGGGCTTTGGATATTCTTAGGTCTCGAGTCATTCATAAGTGTATGAACCGAAAGACAAAGCTTGAGTATTTCAAGCTCGTGTTAATTTATGTTTGAATATTGTTCGTATTCGTTTTCTTATTACTTGAACAAAAGTTCGCGTTCGAGCTCGTTTGTTTAGTTGTTCGTCAAAGTTTAAGTTCGAACATATTTGAATAACTTACTAAACAATCTTTTCTAAAATTGACTAAATTGAGATATGTTTGTTCGAACTCTCGAGCTCGAAAATAAAAAATAAAATAGAAATATTTCAAAAAATTTTTTTTATTAAATACATCACACATATAAACGAAAAATATTAGATTAATGTTGGTAAACCTTATCGAACTTTTGGGAACGAGCTCGCGTTCATTCGACTATCAAAGAAGCATAATTCTGTTACAACTCGACTCCATCAACAAACACATGAGTTATTTTGTCGAATATAACAGAGCTTTAAGGAGTTTTTCTTCGCGAACATTCGGTTCGTTAACATCCCTAAATGAAGGTTTGTATTTTACCTAATGCCACTAATTGCATTGAAACAATCAAAATAATGTCAAAGCAAAGGTCCAAACAACAGTTTTTAACACCACCACAGACAAAAGAATTAATTTGCAAGCCCCATTTGTTTCACCTTCTCAAATCACATGCCCCAAAATTCAAGAACATATAATAATAAGATCACCAATGCTGAAAATATGGCCTTGTCAAATCTCTTGCCCCCTTAACCTGCATACATGATAAAAGCAAAACAAAACCATGGCCATTGTTAGGGACTTCAGAAAAACTCTTTCAAAATACTCATATATCATGCTCAGCAAAAATTGTATACTTCTACTACAAAATGTTATACTTTTCAAAACGAGTTAAATAGTTATTACACTAAGTATGAAAAAGTATGTCCTGCAGGAGACCTAACTAACCTCAGGAATTGTTCTGTTTTGCTGTGACTTCACATTTTCAGATGGAGAAATCAGTGCTGTGTGATTAGATGAGACAAAAATTTGTTAGGTCCTCATATTTTTTTATTTTTTTTTTATTTTACTCAAAATCACACGATTTACTCAAAATACCGCTCTTATCAGGAGAAGAAGCCGCAACAAGTCGACGCTTGGCATTAACATAGTCAGCTTCCAAAGCCACCGGTGATTGAAAAGAAAACCGAGAAATGTCAACACCTTCTCGTTTATAACTCGGGTTCTCGGCTAGATACCTAAGAGCGTGCGTGAAGTACCAAAAAATCACCTCCAACATTTATTATCAAAAGAAAATNAAAAAAAAAAAATGCATATACTACGCGAAAGCTAAGCCGTACCTTTCAAGTTCGACCTTAGAACGCAACCTCTTGTTCGATGGTGACACATAGTAGCTGTTAATTAAGTTAAAAAGAGTTTCACAAAAATTTTAGCTCAATCGAAATAAATTTCGAATTCAAGATTTTCCGAAAAAGGCTAAAAAAAATGTCATTAGCCACTCACACGTCAGCAAACTTAGTGCCCCCTTCAGCCCTGACACGTATAATTCGCTGCCAGTTGGCTGGAGTCTGAGGCACGCCGGGCTTATCCATGGCCCACATCAAGCTTCCATCCTGCTGAACATCGGGCTCGTCATTGCAAGATATATTGGGCCTCCATTCGCGGCCCGTTTCGCATACAAAAGATTCTTGGCCAATCCTTTCCCTTATCTGCTCGTACTTTTGTTTAGTGGGTATGAGCCTCCATTTCGCGCATTTGCCACATCGGACTGTGTACAGCTGTACAGACTCCCATACTCGTTTGGCGGGCTTATTCGCTTCACGTGCCATTTTCCTTGTACAAATTGACACACAATAATAATAGAAGGGGACAATGTAGTAAAATCTACTCTCGCGAAATTTTGTTAAGCTACTTAAGCTAAATATATGGATGAGGTTATCGGTATCAAATAGAATCATCCGCTAGAAAGCTCACAGAGGAAATGTGAAAACTCACAAACAAAGATTTTAAACCGTTTGTCCTTCATACTAACGTCGAATGTCGTTAAATATGATAGACAACAAAGGTCAAGGGCTCGTTTTTTTTACGTCTTACAACGGCTTTCTTTGTTTTTCTTTTCGAGTAAATAGCCGTTGTGCTTTCGAAACAATTACAGCAACACTTTTCGACTGTTGTAATATTCGTTGGAAATACATCGTTACATGAGAAAATGAAAAAAGGCGGGAACTTTAAGCAATCACAAGACATTACAACATGAATTTCAGCTAAACGAATAGCTCACAAATCGTGTTTAATCTATATTCGGATCACATACATGTGAGATTTAACATGTACGATATAAAAATTAAAACATATATAATTTATCTTCTGAGATACAAAGTGAAGACAAGACAGTTCAATTGCAATTAACAGCAAACAATCATGTACATGTAGGAAANTAACAAAAATTAGAATTTGAAGAGATTACCAAAAGGTAGCAACGAAGAGAAATTGAAGGCAGATCGAAGTGAAAATAGCAGGATCGCCAAGGACTAAAGTCATGTAATTTCTTGGTGCATATTAAAAGGGTGATTCAATTTCCAATTTTCATTAGTGTTGCTAATTTTTGGTGTGTATTAAATGGGTTTAATGCACGCGATTCCATTTCCAAATTTTGTTGGTGCTCTGCTTTGAGACTAATGGTTGAACACATATGCTTATCAAACCTGTCATTAATTTTTAATTAAAATGTTAGTTATATTAGGTAAAAAATATTTTTTTTTTAATTTATTAATTTTTGAATATTTCAGTATAATGTGATCACGGACCACAGAATCACTCGTTACGCATGCTAGCAACATTATGAAACGATGAACTTTATTTTATCTATGTTCTATATATAACTGTACAAAAATAAAGATGAAACATAATAGTACCATTAATATTCTACATTTGTATCTTTCATGGTACACAATTGTCTAATATTTGATTAATGTCTGTGTATCCAATATTTATAATATTTTATTATTTCTAATTTATGGTATTAAACACATTATTAATTTGTTTGATTATTTTTTAAATAATGAAAATATATAGTACGAATTTTCAATTTTTTTTAGAAGATAATTCATAAAACGGTTCAATAAATGATTGAATTATATCCTATTATTGTGGTATACTTGATACGCAAAATAGTTATTTACATCTATTTTTCATATTTATTTTGCCCTAAATTTCAAACCCATATTGAGCCAATAAAGCCAAAATACTATAAGGTGGACGAAAAGTAACTAAAAAATGACACATAGATAAAACTCTAAAGAGGGACATTTCATACATAAAAGAAAAATACTATATGTGTTTATTTTTTTTTTTATAGAAATCCAATTCTTAAAAAGTTGATTAAATGGTTAGGGTCAGTATCCCTTTAAATGGTGACATATGAAATTTTAATTGATTTTAAATTTTATTACTTAACTACTATTAAACTAATAATATATCTATAATAATAAAAATATATTATTTTGAATATTACAAAGATACATCAAATATTATTAAAAATCGAATCCATGTGAAATAAAACCCTTCCTTTCTCCTGCAAATTGGTCCTGCAATATATTTGCAAATAATTATTCAATGTAATTTTCAGAACAAAAAAATAGAAAACAAATATAATAAATTATGAAACAATGAAAATTTGACCTTCAAATTAGCATGCAATAATCCACTACAATATGCGACATCCATTTCCCCAACGTTAGCCAATATCTATAGTTTGAATTATCTTAACTAATTAAAGATATTTTGCATCATAAATTTACCTATATGGCATTTTCCCTCCACTAATCATTACAATCCAATATTATAATTATTATTTTTGCATTAATTCGGCCTGTCCCATTAATGGTAAAATATTTTCTTACACTTTTTTGAATTAATTAATACAAAAACCTTTACAATTTATATTAATTGAGTAATAATTATATTTTTTATTATATCATATAATAGTTACATAAACATAAAAAAATATAATCTAAAAACTTTTTTTTTCAAGTTATTTTATTCTACAATCAGTATTATATTTTTTTACCTGATTAAATGATTGTTTGTTAAAAATAAATATATTTGTTTTAATATCACAGTAAAATTCCTTAAAATTGTATAACCAGTTTTTATAATAAATATAATAATTTTTAACTAATTAATTGATCATGATCCCTCAAAATTACAAAAATTATATTTTTTATTATATTTTATACAATCAATATAATGATTCATATGCAATGAAATCGTTATGTACTATTTATTTTAACAAAGGATCAAATTTTACAAGATAATACCATTATCTAACTTATAATTTTAATACTATATGCATAAATATAACTTATAATACATTATGTTTAAAATATACTATTAATTAAATTAAATTTTAATATTATTTGCATACAAATAACTTATAGTACTTTACTTATATTTGTGCAAATGCGTAAAGCCGAAGTTACTTTATATATTTTATCTAAGTTATTTTATTGGCACAATATCAGTTTATTGGCTAGTGTGTTTGCAATTCTTTTATAATAAATAAAATAAATATGCAATTGATCCGTTTCAATTAGCTAACATGGCAATGGTCTTCTACTTCCTGCTCAAAGTAATGAAATCCCATACAACTGAATCTCATTTTTAACTATATAAGTGTGAATCTAAAATTCAATTATGTAATAACATTCATCTCACATGACGATTGTATTATTGTGTGCTGTGAACTTAATCGTTAGGCGAATATAATATTTGTAATTAGGCTGATATAATATTTTACAAATATGCATATTTTTATTAAAAAATATTGTGTTTCAAAAAACTATAAAGACAAAATTATGACATTTTGATAGTATAATTTATACTTTTTTGTTCAATTTATATGATATGTCGATCTGCCTAATATTAGGCTATCGCGCAGTCAAATTTGATACATAGATTATTTTGTTGTAGGCTTATATATATTTTTTAAATATGTGTACTTTCTTTAGAAAAATATCATACTAAATATAAATAAAAAATATGACATTATAAGTGCATTTTTGTTAAAAATAAAAATAAAATCGATCTCCCAATTAATCTGGCAGGAGAATTTTGGAAATTTGCAAAACTTAAAAGCTTTCCTCAAAAGTATGACATTATAAGTGCATTNATCGATCTCCCAATTAATCTGGCAGGAGAATTTTAGAAATTTGCAAAAGCTTTCCTCAACAACATTTTCAAGTCCTTCCCATAAATCAATATTATAAACAGTAACTAAAGCCACATAAATCAACACTAACTCAAGAAATTAAAGGTTAAGGCAGTCAACAAGAACAACCTCAAACATCTCCATCAAATAATTAACATAATACTACTATTATTATTATTATTATTATATTAACTGTTTTTTTCAAAAGATATTGAAGATGCTAATCGGCTCACCCTCATTGGATGATGGCTGAGACTGCCTTTTAAGTTTTTGGATGCCTAAATGTAAAGTCACAATTTCTTGAAAATGAAGCACAATTTTAGCACCTTTTTAATATTTAAATGAAAAAGGCAACTTGCTGGAAGCTGCACAATTTCTATACAAATGTGAAAAAAAATGGGAAAATCATTAGCATTCAAGTCTAAATAATTACAAAGATTCTTAATTGACAGTTCTAAAGTAATTTATCCTCAAATTATACGTAAAGACTAATCTACCCTCCTCACAAATTGTCATCACTTTTCCCTCGCATCAAACCAAAAATGAAATGTTTTTTAACATCAACTTTGTCAAATCAACTTATGAAATAAAAAATTAATCATTTACAATAGTAATTTTAAGTAAAATTCAATTTACCTTTGTAAATTACCACCATTATGTCACTATTTTCTAGGTAACTTTTATAGTTACATTTATCTTAATTCCACCCACAATATTCTCTCTATGTGTTAATTCAAAACGTATTGAGTCTAAGTAGCAATTTCGCATGTTTCAAATACTGACATGACAAAATTTTGTGCCTCGTAGTTTGATTTGTATATACATTATTGTTTTGAAATTAGATTTGATATTTGACACGTAATTTATTGCAATTTTGACAATTATGTATTTATTTTGTCACATTTATCTCTTTCCCAATTAAATTTGACCATATAAAACTGATTATTGCCTCCGTTTATTATATTTTTTTTATAATATCTTAAGAGTTAATAAATTTTTTACCTGTATTCAATTTTTTAGATATGATTTATCAAATTAATCATCATCTGTCGATTTTTAATTTGACATCCATATTACATATACCCATTTAAAGTTATTTTCATCGATACTTATAAAAAATGTTAAAGTTATTAGTCAAACCAAATTTAAAAATACAAATAGAACTATTTTTTCATATTAAATAAAAAAATATTTATATTACTTTACCATAAAATATCACTTTTTTGCAGTAATTAAAAAATATGTCGATATTAAGTATAAAAATATAATGAATATGAGAAAAAATCTAAACTTATGTTTTCACTTAAATAAAGTATAAAAAGGATTGAACATTATTATAATGTTGAGAATAAAAAATATAAGTGAATATCAATTTTGAAAGTAATAAAAATATATTAATAATTCATAGTCATAGAATGTTAGGTTGATAAGTATTAATTTATATTTTTAATGGTCAAATATTAGTAATTAGAAGACAATAAGCAATATAAATAAAACACAATTTTTTGTGTTATTATTTTAATATTTTATATGATATTTGAAAATATATCTATAAAGAAGCATACAACTCATAATGCTTCAAAATTATCCAATTGAATTAAATATAATAAAATTAAATTAGCAGAGTTGTAAGTAATTATATTAGATATATATAATTTTATAAATGTAATTAAAATAATCATTATTTTTGACAATTTTAGGGTAAATCATGCATGTCATTTTTAATACACATCACTCTATTAATTATTTATTATACAATTAGTTTTATGATTTCATAATAAAAATATAAATACTTTTATATACTTATCTTTTATTATAAAAGTATTTTATTCAAAATCCTGTACACGGGTGGTGTACTAGCTAAAAGTTATTCACATAATTTTTTATTGTTTATTTAATAATTCGCCACTTTTTTATCATTAATTTTCATGAAAGAAAAAATTTAAAATATTTAGCAATATTCAATCACTCTCTCATAGGATTCTACAGTATTTGTATGGGCATGGAGGTAAATTCGGTGCTGGCCTATTGCCTCTTCCGACATGGGCAGTGCAGTTAGTACTTTTCAGTTCTTGATTTAAATCAAGAGTTAAAAAGTTCTAACTGCAGCACTACCCATACATGCAGGCACAAAAATTACTCACTATATTCATTTTCTTTTCTCTTTTACATATGTTAAGAATGATTTCTATTGATACTATTGTTGCTACTCAAAAAACTTTAATCATTTGACAACCCTTATTTTCTTGACATCCATCCATTTATAATACGACGTTTAATGGTGAGACAAATTGATATGTCATACTTTAGCAAAAAGCTACGATCCCGTTACGAAACTATTTCGTTGGGATTTTTAACCGTTAGATGCACATGCTACACTAATCTACATGTGCATCTAAAGGTTAAAAAACCTAACGGAATGGTTTCGTAATAGGACTATAGCCTTGCTCCATACTTTAAATAATAACTTAGAAAATCTATAGTCTCAGTAGTTTGAGGTCCCACCTGGTATGAGTAGTGTAAACGCTACAATGTGAACACAATCAGATAAGTATGAACCTCGGACACCTATTGGGGAGCAAGTATACATGGGTATCAAGGCATGATTCATTGAGTTCATTAGGCCCTAAGGTACTCACCTCCTATATAAAAGGATGAGATATTACTATTACTTTTTTTTTTTCTCTCTCTCTGAACATTTTAGATAGCAATTACCATAATTTGCTTATTTCTGATCACTAACTTGAGTAACTTCTCTAACCCTTGTTATGCAGGTTATTAGCTTTACTCGGACGATCAGAGTATTCTTGTCGTCGATTCATGTAAATCCTTGACTCGACACATCATATATTAAGAAATGTCATACTCTTGTTTGTTATCATTTTTTAAAATATGACGTGCACTCGTATATATATATATATATATATATATATGTAATTTTTATTAAAAAAAAATATGTTGAGATTAAACATGACTAACATCAAGATTANTGTTATACGATGGCAATTTTGAAGAGAGCCGACGGAAAAATACAATGTGCGGAAAACGGCCGCATCGACATCTTGTACCTTCACTCTCGAGGTACAATCCCAGTATGCGAGATGAATGGTCAAACCCTCGTCAAAACTAGCTGTGGTGCACTGAACCCTCAGTGCGCCTCACCCGCATCCTACCATTCCCAAAAGGTCTCCACCTTCCAGAATTGCACTGCATGCTCGCGCAAAAAAAGTAGTATTTTAAACAATACAAAAACCTCCATTATTTTCAGACCCAATACATACATACACTTCAGTCTGTATCTATATCCATATTTTATGAATAAAATAAAACCCCCTTTCTATCCCCAACCACTAAAATATCACAAAAAGAGGAGCATGAGACAAAAAAGATCTACACACAGGTTTTTTATAGAGACTTGAGCACATTTTTTGGGTGTGCTGTGGGGTTCAAACCATCATTTGTCTCATGTGCAGAGCTTTTCACTTGATCCAACTGCGTGTTTTGCGGTCTTTCGTGTTTTTATGCGAGCCCATCTCATTTTCTGACCGATTGATCTGATTTTTGGTGTTCAGAGGAGGTTTTTGGGCTCAAGGTTGCGATTTTTATTGTTTTTTCTTATCCGGGGGGTGTTTGGACTGTGAGATAAACAATCATGACTGTGGAGAAAATAAAGGGTGACAATGAAAATTGTGAGAATTTCCCAGTGGGTATGCGTGTTCTTGCTGTTGATGATGACCCAATTTGCTTGAAGCTTTTGGATACTCTGCTTAGGAAATGCCAGTACCATGGTGTGTTTTCCTCTTCTGTAACTTTTTTTATGATATGTTCGTTTGTGTTTGGCTGATTGGATTCAAGATTGGTATGGGAATTTCTGGCTTGACAGCTTATGTGGGCTTAAGTGGCTTTCCTGGTTTTAATTGAGGACGCTTGTTTGTATCTTGGTTATTAATTTGCAATCTGTTTGAAGATTTTCTTGATTTGTGGTGTAATTGTCTTATGGTCCCCTGAAATTCATCAAGTCAAATGTCTTGTGCATTTGGTATTTAGGTTTGGAATTTTTGAGGATCCATTAGTTTAATCTTTTCGTTTCGTTATTTGTGAGACCATTCGAAGAATTTATATGCATGCTATATCTTGTCCTAGTTTTGATCATTGTTTTGGATTTTGAGCTGACAATAGTAATGTTTTATATGCATATGATTTGCATCTAAGTTCTGACAAGTGAATAACATCCTCAAGTTGCCAAGTTTTGTGCTCCGAAGGATTTTTCGTTGGATCTTTAGCAAATAACTAATCAACTTTTTCCATGAAAAATGAAAAAAACGTATTCGAACAGTTAGCACAACGAGTCAGGCGAGAATGGCCTTGAAGATGTTAAGGGAAAACAAAGACAGATTTGACTTGGTTATCAGTGATGTCCATATGCCGGACATGGATGGCTTTAAGCTTCTTGAACAGGTTGGCCTCGAAATGGATCTACCTGTCATCAGTACGTGTCAAATTCATTTCCTTTCCTTTCTCGTTCCCTATTATCTTGTTAGATTTTTTTTTACTCGAAAAAGGAAAAAAAAAATTAAACATTTCATTGTATTTGCAGTGCTATCTGCGAATAGTGACCCCAAACTTGTAATGAAAGGAGTCACTCATGGTGCTTGTGATTATTTGGTCAAACCCGTTCGAATTGAGGAGCTGAGGAATATATGGCAACATGTGATAAGAAGACGTAAGTCTGTGACTAGGAACGAGAATAAGTCTGCCGATCAAGCCAAACCTAATCAAATAGCGAGTGGAGAAGGAGGACAATTAGGTGGGACCATCCCAGGAGAAAACGCGGATCAGAATGGAAAAACGAATATTCGAAAGAGGAAAGATGAAGAGGATGAGAGTGAAGATGGAAATGAGAATGAAGATCCTGCAACTCAAAAGAAGCCTCGTGTTGTCTGGTCAATTGAGCTTCACCGGAAGTTTGTTGCAGCTGTGAACCAGTTGGGCATTGAAAGTAAACCTTTTTTTTTTTTTTTATTGTCATTTTATTTATTGCAATACCTTTTGGTGTGCATTCTTGCTCTTTTTTGCTATACGTATCTATAATTTTGTTAATGTAATTGCAGAGGCTGTTCCGAAAAGGATTCTTGACCTGATGAATGTGGAAGGGCTTACTCGAGAAAACGTGGCAAGTCATCTCCAGGTACTTTTCATATCTTCTCTCATTGTAATTTATCTTGAATCAATCACATTTCTCACATCCTCCTGAACTACTCCTTCATTCACGAACATATCGTCCAATTTGACTTTTCCTACAGATTAAGAAGACTATAGTAGTGAATCACAAATAAGCAAATCTTTTCATGATATGCATATTAATTAGGTTGATAAAGCTAAAAGAAGGAAGATTATAGTATTACATATCTGTGATGCATGGGGTAAATATCAAGAAAGGTCCTTACAGTAACAAATTTCTTACCATTTTCATCAACCCTTTACAGAAATACAGGCTGTACCTCAAACGAATCAGCACAGTCGCAACCCAGCAGGCCAACATGGCAGCCGCATTCGGAGTAAAAGACTCACCTTTTATGCGAATGGGCCCTTTTGGTGGGCTTCCAAACGCGGCCTTCCCACACTACTCACCTGGGGCCATGCTCGGGCGAATAAACCCACCTCCGAACATGAACCTCCGAAATATCTCCCCATCTGCATTTATCCAGCCAAATTCCTTTTCCGCCCTCAATAAAATGCACCCGGGCCTCGCAAACCCAAATCCGGGCCAAAACCTTTTCCCAGGAATCCAGCTGTCTTTAGAACTCGACCCAAACAAGCAAGTACCCAATAAATTCCCCGAGCAGGGAACAATTGGTGGGCCCAGTAATGTAATAAACGGGAATTTTCAGCAAACGATGAATAATGGGGGTTTTGGGATTGGACCCGACTCATTTAGTGTCGGGAGTATTGAGACATCGGGTTTGATGCAGCCGAATAACTCATTAATTTCCGGGCAGCCGTTTCAGTTGGCTATGAATAGCAATCGGGACAGTGGTTTTTCAGGTGAGGGTTATGTGCCGAGTAATTCTCTTGACATGTCTGGGCCTGGGACCACTTTGGCTCTAGACGGTTTGAGTCAGAGGTGGGGTGATCAACAGGGGCAAAATGGTCATTGCTTGAAAGTTGGTTATGTTCCCTTGAACGGCAGCCAGAACGAAAAGTCGCAAGGGGGGTTTGGTGGTCGTGGTTATGACGCGTTGGATGATATGATGAATGCTATGATCAAAAGGGTATGACCAANGATCTTTATGTTGACTTGATTTGTGTTTTTGTCCCTTTTGATGTGTAGGAACAAGATGAAACGGCTCCAAACTGCGATTTTGGGTTTGATAGTTATTCGTTCGGGTCAGGTGGAGTATGAGTTCAAAGTAGCCAAGTCTTTCTTTCCCATGGCTTGATGCAAAAGGAGAAAACAACATTTGGAACTTCTCAATCAATTAACATCGGTCAAGATATATATATATATATACCATGTCATGTCTCTCTAGTTTCATGGTCTCTGTAGGTGTTTGAGTTTGTTACTGTTAATTTATTTTCCTTTAATCCATAAGCTGCAATTAGGAGTAGCAGTTTTAGTTGCTGTCTTGAGGAGATTAATAAGATAATAAAATAATTTCAGGCATTCAACCACGTTTCTTTTTTTTTGGGCTTAATGAGACTAACTATTTCTCATATATTGTACATTTTTTTTATGGCAAGTTACTCTATTGTGTAATAAATACTTACCATAATCATGTACTCGGAATTGCAACCCTCTTCGTACCAATCCGCCACATGTAAAGATCTCGTTTTTTCCACTATGTAATTCGTGACCTTTAACTATATACTCATCATTGTATAATTATCTCCATCCGTAAGTTTTTTGGCATGTTAAGTCGTGTCCACCCAAAGAAAAGAGAAAACAAGGATAACAATACAAACAATATATTATTTTGTAATATGAGAACATACATTTTTATTTAAAAAAATATAACAGGTCGACCCGTCTATTTAGCTCATGCAAGAATTTGTTGTATTTGTTAAAAAAATATAACAGGTCGACCCGTCTATTTAGCTCATGTAAGAATTTGTAGTTTCAAATACAACGCATACTAGTAGAAGAAAAGAAAAAGACAGAGAATAAGAATCAACCAATATTATATGATTTTTTGACTAATTTAATTTAAATTAAACGGTGATTACTTAGAATTAATTAAATGGGAAGGATCAACTCACGGTTTAGAATTAATTAAATGGGAAGGATCAACTCACGGTTGATAGGATCTTATTTTTAATTCATTTATATTGGTATTAGTCCCTTATATTAGCAGCATGCACCAATTAATTATATTTTGGTATTTCGGTAACAGGTCGCATACATCACATGTCCAGATGATGTGTTTATATTTCGAGGTATTAATTATTATATCATTAGTCTAACTTCTACTTATAGATTAATAATAATTATTTGAAGCATGATCACGACTGAGATTTAAATTGAAGTTCGGTCTTTGCCCACTAACTCAAAGTCACAACAGTCATATTTTCTTTTTACCCAATTAACTATAAATTTTACCACACTTATTTTCACTTTTTTGACAAATTTATCCATCCTATCTATCTTTTCACTCTCTTTTTTGACAAATTTATACTTCACACCATCTTTTCTCTCTCTTTTTACATTATTTTCCTCTCTCTCAACATGATTTTTTTTCCGAACAGTAAATACATTTTTTGAATGTAAAAATAATTTTTATTACAAAATACTTGTCAGTTAATCTTTACAAACGCATATGCGATGTTTACTTTATAGTACACAAGTAATATGCACTAGTATTCGATCATGTGCACATGCACAAATGCAGATAAAATTTTATATGTTATATGTATGTTTATGTAATATTTAAAATCATAAATTAGATAATGAGTAAATCACATCTTTTTATAAATTTTATCATTAGTAAGAATTGAACAATATAAATATAAACCATTTAACTTATATATTAATCTTTATATTGAAACAATCTTGGATGATTAAGACAAATTAATTGAATAAAACTATATTGAAATTATTATCTATAGCAATTGTGTACGAAATTTTAAAATGTTTGCTTATACCATAAAAATTATTTAACTATTTAATAAGAAAACTTGCTTAATGAGTTGAAAAAAAAAAGAAATAATAGTTTTATAAATAGTTTGAAAAAAAAAAACTATAATGTAATAACATTTAATGTGACTTTATTATTAATTATTAGTAGCAATTATATAATAAAATAATTAAATAATATAATTGCTTGATAATGAAAAGGTAACGGAAAAAAGCGGTAAAACAAAAAGAATTTTATTAAATTATTTGCTATCAATTATATATATAGCATTTTAGTTTATATTCCATCATTTTTATTAAATGAATATTTTCTATACTATCGTATTAACCATTTTTTACTTATATGTTTTTAGTGAAGTTCGTCTAATGGTTTTTTAGAACCTAAATAAGTATATTAAAGAATGCATGTTAAGTACTTTGTGCTTAGTTACCAAAAATTAAATAAGTGAAAAAAAGTGTGGAAAGAATGGAGTACTACGCACTTCCCAATTTAATTAGTGAAATTTTTATATTTATATGTTAAAGTGTTATCACACTACTTTACGAGTTTGAAAAACAAAAGTACCATTTTCACCCCACTGTAAAATATAGTATTAACTTTTTTACAATCACATGCATTTCCTCACAATCACATATACTCGGAAAAAAATGACGTTTTCCATCTCTTTTCCTCACAATCACACACACTTATAAAATTTTAAAAACTATGTAACTATTACAAATAATTTCTTTTCCATATTTATTTATTATTTTTATTTATTTTGATAAATCTCGCGTAACACATAACGATTGTTTTATGCTGATTAAACAATCATTAATTCTTCGTGTATTATAAAAGCCACTAAATATAACCATAGTGTTGATGGATGTCAAATTAGTAGTAGGGCTCCATAAGCCCAATCCTATATATATATATAGGATTGATTTTTGGTATTAGCTGAAGTATCAGAACAAGATAGATATAATTTTTTGACTTCATGAAATTTGAATGGACCAAAAAAATGTACTTCCACAATTTCACCACTGCAAATTTAACCACGCACGGACATTTTACACATATTTGGTAATTACAGGCCATGATATGAACAAATGCGCATCGACTAATTTGTGAACCCATACTCGTACCAGACCCGATGCAAATTTAAGACTAATTTGCAAATCCGCATACATAGGACCAGAAAACCAAGTCCACCATAACTGAAGGAACAAATGCAATTATTTTCATACCTTATAAACCTCCAAGTTTCGAAATCTTCAAAATTTCATCATCAAAACAGCAAACAAAA